TATATATATATATAGAGAGAGATAAATGTTATATTTACAAATTTTTTGTTTACAAACTATACTAAGTATGACCAGTCATACTTTAATCAAGAGTGTATGACCGGTCATACCTAGTATAATTTGTAAAAAAAATTTATAAATGGATCTTTCCTCATAAAAATAAATAGAATTCATGTAGACTCAAATGAAGAGAAAAAAGAAAATGAGAAATTATAAGCCAAATATAATTTTATATGTATCTAAAAGATAAATTTATATCTTATAAAAACAAAACAAAACAAAACAGAAAATCCAAAAAATAAACACCAACCCCCTCTGTCCGCCATTTTCACGTCCCTATTCCCTCAACCACTGTGCTTAGTCAAATCAAGTCATAATCATTCCCCAGCCCCCACCTCTCTCAAAAGGCATACAATGGTTTACGGATAACAAATGAGTCTAATTATATACTCTTTCTAAAAAAAAACATCATATTATTTATTTAAAAATTACAATTTTAGATTAAAAAATTACAAACCGAATAATAAAAGATATAAACTAAATAAGGCTCAACATATACGATAAGAAAAATTCTTATGTAAATTTAGTATACTCAACGTAAATGTGTTAAACTTATAAATCATTGAGACATCAATAATTACGACAATTAATTATTAATTACTCATAATAATTTATATAGATAATGCAACTAAAAGTTTATGCAAATATTTCTAATAAATAAATCAGGCCAAGATATTCTGGCTAACCAGATCAGTGGATTAGTTTGCTCTAACCAGACATCGTCCTAATTTCATGGGTCCCGCGTTTGTTCGTTTAGTTCGCTACCACAAAACATTTTGGCACATTTATTTTATAGATTAGTGTGGTTCGGTGATCAATTCAATTCCAATTCAAGCAATCATAGCAACACTTGACTTTGTAACTAAAGATTTTCATCATGCTTCACATAAGTCAGGCTGTCTATCATTCCAGCTATAGCGCTCTTAGTTAACTCCTTTAAATAAGCAAAGAAAAGGAATGAGAAAGCCATTGTATCAGGAAAAAAATAAATAAATCTAATTTAGGCCAAATGCGATGAACAACGAAGGCGCATTTACCCACCGAATACATGTTTGGCAGCAGTAAGGGTAGTTCAAATTTGGGGAGACATATTAAATACCCAGAACAAAAAGGTCTGACACCATATTTCAAGTCAAAACTTTAAGGTCCATTCCTTTGAGTATTGATGAATGATGAGGTTATCAATTAAGAGTGGATCAGTCCCCTCTTGATCCACAAGATGAGTTTGCGCAATATACAAATTCGAACACCAATCATCGTCTCCAAATATTCGGTATACATAGGCCAATTAGGGGAAATTACATCCATAATTTCACATATCAACTGGGCCTAAGCGACAAACTCATGTTAAGAGATTCTGATATCATATCTCAATTCAAAATCTTAATGCATTAGATTTATAGATCGTTTCACTTATATGAGACTTTTTATCACTTACAATTGAATTTTCAATGATACACATATAAACAGATATTTTAAACCATGTCAATGATGTGTATTGTTCAAAAAATTCTATCAAAACGGGCTTCAAGGTTCGAAACAGTGACCATTTTGTCACGTTTGGCCAAAAAAATTACCAGACTGTCACGCCAACAGTAAATTTTCCTAGAATGCCACGTGGCATAATTCGCTACACTGTGTAGCGAAATATGTTTGCAAATAATTTGCTACACAGTGTAGCGAATTATGCCACGTCAAAATGCACAGCCAGCAAGAATGACACGTGTCAAGCAGGTAATAATTCGCTACAATGTGTAGCAAATTATGTTCGCGAATGTATTTTTGACACGTGGCACACTTTCGCAGGAAAAAGATGACGTGTCATAATTCGCTACTACTGGTAGTGAATTTGGTCTGCAGTATGACCACGTGTCCGAAATTAATTATTGGCCACGAAATTCGCTACTAGTGATAGCGAATTATGACACGTGACAGTCTGGTAAAAAATACTGTTCGCTTGGGATTTGAATAAATTTTTTGACAAAATGTAACATTTTGGTCACTCTTCGTAAGGTTCCTCATTCGTTACGCTATAGTATTGTTAAAATTTTAATTAACTAATATATTTTGGGGAGGATGCCGACAGAATAGCGAAACACTCGAGAGTAAAATAATGACAAGTACTTCTAAAATTATCATGGACGTAATGATAACAGAGAAATGATAACAGATAAGAAGTCAAACCGCAATGAGGATAAATGCAGATTCTCGATCTTTTATAGTTGCAGCGTAATGGCATAGGATTCCCGGGCATTTTTAACAAACATTCTCACATAAAATTTCAAGTTTCGTCATGATTATATAATACCAAAAGTTATAGCATATAAAAACTGCAACATACTCGTGAAATATCCCATTAAGAGCGCAACCCTTCTATTCACTAGAAGCATGCCAAAGATGAGAACCCAAATTTTTGTCCATCTTCTATTTGCATGGCTGCTGCTTGCTGCTTCAGCATTCAATCACGTCAATGCTAATGTTCAGGCTATCCAATCAGGTATTTCACATTCTCATACAAATAGCTCTGACTATGGAGAAAAATTCATTTATAAATTTTTTTACAAATTTTCTCGGAAATACATAGTATATAATGTAACCTATTGTATTTTTGAAAGTAGATATTGTAGTTTATAAACAAAAAATTTGTAAATGAACTATTTGGCTTGAAAAAAATATTCACGTACGTGTGAAGTTATTACATTATTTGGTGGAGATGTCAATTTTCTAATGTTTGTTCGTTTAATTTGACAAGCACAAACAACTGATTCTGTAGTGGTTATATATTGCAACCAATTGTATCTCACGGTACTCTATATTCCTGCCCACAGTTCATTTCAAGCTCAGAACCCTAAAGGCTAGCTCAAAACCGCATGCTGGACATGACATAGCTTCATGGGTTAGTAAAGACATCAATCACTTATTTTATGTTATTTATTCATTTTGCTTAATAATTGTATGACAAAATCCTGATTTGAACAATGAAAATAACAGGTTAAAGAAAAGAAGAATCGCAAGAGCCCATCAGGGCCTAACCCAATAGGGAATCACCGCCCGCCAACTAAACCATAAAGAGATTGAAACACATATTCGGCATCAGCATTGAGTAGAGACGTCAAAAGCTATTTCTCTCCAAGTCATAGGAGATCACTGGAATCATGTAAACTGGAACTATTGTTTTTAGGAGCATTGTGTTTGTACAAAATGGTATTTAATTGAATATTCGTAGTTTACTCAAGGCAAGTAAATCTCGATTTACTTTTTAAACACCTTTTCAAGCTTGATGAAAGCAGCTTTATACCACTTCCACTAAGCAGTGCACGTTGACAAACAGGCTCTGTAATTAACACCCTCCGCCATAGCGTTTTGACAAAATTAACCTATCTAAATTTCCAGCTCCGAGATCTCTTATTTGGAGCACTCTTTCCCTGCAATTAGCGGGTGTTTGGTTGAGGAGAAATTTTTACGAATCATAGTAAAATGTGATTAGTAGGGAAATAGTTGAGAAATGAGTTTGGTAGGAAAATGTAAAAAAAATTGTTTGGTAGGAAAAATTTTTACCAGAGAAATTAGATAACTTTTGTAAAATCTATGTTTGACTTTTGGTAAAATATAAATGAAAAAAAAATGTGATATTACAAAAATATCCTTGTTTTTAAAAAATGTTGATAAGCCTTGCTGCCCTTTACCCAAAAAAAAAAAGTTTTTTTTCTTATTACACAGTATATCTAAATGCATAGCTAACTGAGAAAACCACATCAGAAAAGGGTTTCTTTGGCCTGCTTTCTTGCTTCAAAATGCTAGATAAGGTGATTTGCTAGCAAAGGAATTTAGGTACCTAAATTAGGAACCTCTCTCAACCAAACATGAACATCCAATTTCCCCACTTCATATTTGTCTATCAATCTCCTCAAAAACCTCCAACCAAACACACCCTTAGGGTAGTAAATTAATGGCCTTTCACCCGGCTCGTAAAGATTTGCGTTTACATATTTAAAATTAGGGTTTTATAAAAGTTATGTTGTAGAAAAAATTATCATGTCATGTTGTAGAGATTCGTTTTCCGTGCTTATTTTATTTCTTTTTTTCTTTTTTCATAAATTGTGGGGCCCATGAAATATTGTGTCAGTAGAAAACTTTATCATGTCATGTTGCATGACAAACGAAAACCCCTTAAGATTAATTGTTAAAATCAGATTCAGACTTGTATTAGAAAAAAGGTCTGAGGCTCCAATTCAAAAACTCAACCTTAGAACCTTTCAGGCTGGCCTATTTTTTATACTACTCATAATACTCTCTTTCTCTCCTCAATCTATTTCATCCCATTTTATTGATTAAATAGACTTTTTAAACGATTTTGTTTTATATTATATTGTTTGGATATACATTGAATTTATGAATCTCTATGAAATTATTAGTGCTGTTGATCGTATATTCTGTTTGGATACATTTTTATTGTCTTATTTTTTTTAAATGATAACAGGCTAAACCAATTTTTTTTTTTTTTTGTAAATAAGCCACATGCCGATATTTTTATTCATAACAAGTATCAGATTGACTCATTTAAACACAGTTTTATCCTTTTAAAACCAAAGTATGGCCCGACAACACCCCTACCTCCACTAGTTCTAAATTTATGCAATTAGTTTCATGTTATTTTAGAGCGCTTTGATTTTTTCATGTTAAAGAGAATTATTTTCTCATGTTTTGACTCAACTAATTAACGATGGACATCACACTTATTAAAGAAAAGAAAAGAAAATTTGCATGCAATTCTAACACACATAAGAAAATACTTTTCATACGGTAACATGAGAAGTGTTTTTTCCTATTTTATAACAACAAACGTCATCATTCAACTGAGTTTTAACGTTAAGAACATCTATAGTCAGCAAATTCAGGTTCCGTTCAACAACATTTCTCCAAAAGTCAGGACTGCAGTTATAGCAGCCTGCCGTGTTTCTCAATGTTATGTAAGTTTTTATTCGCCCTTCTATCCAGCAAGAAATTCTTGACTGTAAGAGACTAAACTTGTCAGAAGACAATTTGCTTTAGGTAAGGTGGAACATTACTTAAACGAAACAAAGATATTTTGCAGGATTAAATTACATAATTCAATTAAATTGCCAACCCAAAATTGGTACAATCTGTGAAGATATACAAGACTAACTATAAACTACAAACAACCGTATACGGTCCTTTTATACAGCACGCTTCCGCTTCGAGCGCTTGCTTCTTCTTTCCCTAGAATAATTTTGAACCTCTTCGCCAACTTTAGAAGCAAATGCTTCTTCTGCAACTTCCTCTCCCTGTATATAAGTTGACTTAGAATTGGGCATTTTTGGCAAAAGAATGAAAATCCCAAACAACAATCTTAGAATATAACAGTCACAGTAAATTATTTGAAAAAGACAACCAAACGTAAGAACAGCTACGTAACCTCTTACTCACGTGGAAGGATGACAGGAAAATCAGAAAGGGAATTGGTTAGATGGTTGGAAGGGAAAGGAAGAAATAAAAAGAGAGAAGAGAGTCGAATAAAGAATCAGGAAAAAGTGAGTTGGGAAAGTGTGGAAGAGAATCAGGCCTCGAATTGATTGGGATATTTAACACGCCATGAAGTTTCTGAAGTGACAGTTATGAAGTTAGTAGGAACTGAAGAAACTATCTATGGATAACAGACTCACGTGACATCACTCTGTTGTAATTGTATCAATGATTAGTTGTATTTTAGCTTTGTACTAGTTGTACTTAGTTTCGTACTTTACATAGCAATAGACCTATCTGTTGTGTATATAAACATCACTAGGCGTAATTCATTTTATTCATTGAGAAATACATAATGGTTTATCCTTCTTTATCTTCGTCTTTGTACGTTTATGAGAATATCTGCATTTTCATTTCGTATAAATCTATATTCCCAAGAATCACTGCATGAAAGGGCTACAGAATGATCGTGAGCAGCATACAATTGCAATAGGGAAAGAAAATTTCGATCTTCCATTCTATGGCTGGACATGATTAGTTTTACTTATATACGGGCGAATGAAAGAGATATTTCATCTTAGACGTGATTCGAAGTTTAAGGATAGTCGGGAATTGTTCCTTTTATAATAGCATTGAGTCTATAAAGAAGTTTTCCGTGTGCAATACCAAATCGTGTTAACGTGGAGAATTTTCTTTTTCCTTTAATTCTTCTTCTCTCTTAAAGGACAGCTCTATCACATAAACTTCTGAGCAAGAAACTCTAGAGATTGAATATTTACCTTCTTGTCACTTTCTACATCCGAGCCATCGTCAGAATTAGAACCAGAAGCCAGAGGTTGAACTTCTTCCACTGGCAGTGCCTTGCTTAACATTTTCTTCTCTTGTTTTAATTGCCTAAACCTGTAGATCATCAATTTTTTATAAGCCCTAGAGGAGGTGAAACACTTAGGCCGCATATTGTACCATAAAACACTGACCTTTCACCAGCCTTTGCTGGCTGAGAATCTGATCTTTTAGCACGTCCTGCAGTGATAATTCCACTAGCATTTTCATTTACAACAGGTTTTGCACCTCCTAATTTGCGCAACCATACTTGTTGAGCTGTGCTCAGGACATTATTTATAAACCTAGTAAAAGAATTACAAAATCAAGTAGCAACAAAATTGTTTCTTTCATTACCCTTAGCAGAGAAGCAATGTTGTCATAACTGTCTCCCAAATCTAACCAAAAATTTTTAATCATGAGAAAGCATTCCCTTGATGAACATGTTATTATTTCCTTCAGAAAGAAGAATTTAAGTTCTCATGCATATGTTCTCTTTTGTTTGTGTTGCACAGATTAGGCAGGTATATCAATGAAATGGTTTCTGAAATAAAGAAGAGTTGTATGGATACAATTAGTTGAGTTTTCTGACCAAATTGGACTTGCTTAGATAGAGTAGAAGATAAATACTATTGCCACCAATTTAAACAAATAAAGAATGTTTGAAGTTACGGAAAAAATATGCAAAATAATTTATTGACTAGCAAGGATTGCATTAATATAGCTTGTGAAAAACTAACCAGTAAATTGTTAGTCCTGATGGGACAGATAGAGAGAAGTAACCGATCATGAGTGGAAGAAACTTGAAAACAAGAAGTGTATTCTTTTGAGTAGGATCATTTGTCTGTCAAAAGAAGTCACTTAGGCCTGCCTTGTAAACGAAAACAAATCGAAACAGAAGAAGAACCGATGAGTTTACCTGAGGTGGTTTCATGATTTCCATCGAAACGAATTGAGAAACAACAAGAAGAATAGGTAAAACAAGATATGCTGCAGTATCCGACCAACCCAAAGGTGGATGACCATCCTGCATAACAGATGTTTGTTATGATACTGTATAATGACAAAAAAGTATAAAATCAATTTACAAAGTTTGCCATTTATTTCCTCTTGATAGCTGACTTCAGCAAATGAACATTCCATCTATAACTACATCATTTATTCCCCCCCTTCCTTGCCATCAGCAAATTTAGTTCAAATCTTTGCAACCCCAACAGGTTTTTTATGTGATAAGAGAGGAAATATAGGGAAGGAGTCAACAGAAGGGAGAAGGTAATAAAATGCAACACCCCCAACCACCGCACCAAAAAAAAAATTTATGATTTTCGTTTCTAGTAAAAAGAAAGAAAATAAGGAAATGAGTTATTCAAAGAGAATAAATACTAAAGTCTTCAAGGATATATTGTTATCCACCAAAATTGTCAAACATTTACCACACTACTCAATCTACCACAACTAATAAATATTGAGTTTCATAAAAATCATAAAGCAACTAATGATGCAGTAAATCAAACTCAATAATTTCTGCCCAGATTAAAACTCAAAGAGAAAATCACCATATTTGATCACAACTTGAATCAATACTGAATAAACCATATTTTATATTCACTGAAATCTAAGAAGACTGACTTCTACAGTAGTGCATATGGATGAATTGGAAAAGGAACCTGGCCCGTACTGTGGTGAACAGACCATGGCCCCCCCAAAAATGCTAAATTGCTAACTATTACAAGAATTTTAGTACCAAATGTACTCTATGTCATAATATTTGATCATAACTTGAATCAATGCTGAATAAACCATATTTCATATTTACTGAAATCTAAGATTGGCTCCTACAATAGTGCATATGGATAAATTGGAAAAGGAATCTAGCACGTCTTGCAGTGAACAGACCATAGCCCAAAAAAAATGCTAAATTCCTAACTACTAGAAGAATTTTTATCGCCAAATGTACTGTATGTCATACACAAGTTCAAGTTATATGGTCTCAAGAACCACGACCACGAATAAGTTTCAAAGAAAATGGCTGTAAAGAGTAAACAGTGTGCTGTCTGAAAATCACAATGACACACTCTCACAGCGATGAGGGAAAAAATATCCAATTGCAAATTATCATTTCACCTATGAAGCAAAATATTTCTTTCTTACCACAAATGGAAAAAGCCAAGAAATTCCAGATCCACTTTGTCTAGCAGCAATGGTAGTAGGACCACCCAGCGAGGGGATCCAAAGGAAACCTTCTGTTAACAGTCCCTTCAAATTAAAGGTTTTCCAAATAAGCAAAAATCACATTCTATGTGTAATTTGTCCGTAAAAATCTCTGCTCAAATTATAAAAGTTTATACCATCAATTACCTCATTTGCCACATTTGATAAAGCTTGGTAGAGACCAATCCAGACTGGAATTGTAGCCAAAGTCGGTAAACAACCTATACAAAATGATGACGTCAAGTTGGGGCCGTATATCATTATATCGCTAATGATAAAAGAAAAGCCAGGGTGAAATATGGATGAATAAAACAATTAAAATCACTATTTCTATAGAACCACTACTTCAAAACAATACTTTTGTATGATTATACAAGTGCTATTTGCTTCGTATGTCAAGGCATTATTATACAGACCATTGTTGAGAAGAAGAGAAAGGCAACAACAAGAGAAAAAGCACCTGCCAATGGGTTAACCCCCGCCTCCCTATATAGCCTTGCCGTCTCAAGTTGTATTCTTTCCTTAAAAAAAGGGCAACAAAATGAATAGTTTAGAAAGAACCATCCTATTATTTTTTTTTATTTTTTTATTTTTTTTTTGTAAATAACCATGCTATTATTTAAAGGTACAACAAAATCAATATTCACTTGAGATCAAACTGGATGCTTAATAACCAACAACATCCCTCACCTGATTGCCAGCATATCTTTCTTGAATGGCCTTAATTTTTGGTTGAAGATTTTGCATAGCCAGTGTTGATTCGACCTATATATATTCAATTAAAATCAGAACTTCATGTGGTCAAGTGATGCATAAATGTAAAATTTCATATAATTGAAAGTTAAAATTCATTTACGGTTTGTTCATAGTGTTTTGAAGAAGTTTGTCAGGCTTTGAAAAACAAAATATTCCAATTATTTCAGCATAAAGGAAGAAAATTGTTTCAAAGCAATTAACATAATTTAAAGGTTTCAGTAAATTTGTAAATTTTTCATTACATAATTGGCTCTATAAATTGCTGTAATTTGTACCAACCTGTTGCTTTGTCAAGGGAAGTGTCGCGGCCTTAACTAACACAGTGAGCAATATGATAGCAAATCCATATGTGTAAGGCACATGCACGGCGGCAAGACCATCCTTTAGCACCTGAAAACAAAACAATAACCGTGACATAACATCTAAACCACAAGAACCTGAGTAACAAAAGGCAAACATCTCCAAAACATTTCCATAACATTCAAAAATTATTACAGAAACATGGAGTAAGTGTGTTAGCGTTTCGTAAGGTAGTTTCTTTACTTCTTTGTTTCTTTGGACTTTATGACATGCTAACTGTAAAACAAAGAGCCAAATAAAGTGTGCTATTCGTGAACAATTTCATAGAAACTATAAAACCATTTGTAACAAATTGTATTACTCTTTCAAATTCCAATTACAGCTTTCCATAAAACAAAAAATAAAAAAGAATGAACATCATCTCAAGATCAGAAGTTGCCTAGAATTTAACCACATCAACAAACATCATTCTCTTGTAAACTTTATAAGTTTAAAATCAACGCTTCACTCTTCTTAGCAAAATCTCAACGACGAAGAGTGTCTTAAGCAAGCTACAGTACAACCTCGAGAAAATAAGTTCCGTGAATTTCAAGGCTCATAAGTAGCTCAATCTTAATAAACGAAACATAGTCCTTATATAGGAAGTTAACGAGCACGAGTTGTGAAGATTACCTTGAGAATAAATTCCATGGCGTCGGAGATGAAGCCGAACCAGCCTCCGTTCTTCTGCACGGCAGCATCAGTGGAAGTCGCCGAATCCGCCGCAACCGCGGCGTCGGCGAGCGTGTAAAGAAGGCCTTCAGCTCTGGTGACGATATCGGCGAAGTCAATGGAATGGTTTATGGATTGAATTGGGGGAATTTGGTGGAAGCTGAATTGAACCTTGGTGGAGACTAGCCTTGTGCGGTGGTGAGTGAAGTGGTGGCGAGGGAGTGAAGGAAGCGGCGTTCCGATGAATGATGGAGACGAAATCAGTGTCTTCGCCATGGATGAGAAGCTAAAAGGATATTTGTGCACGAGACGTTTCAGCTTCTCATGACAGATTTTGAGATGAGAGAATATTTCCCAATTATCCCTTTGTTGCGAGGCAAGGACATGGCGCTCGTTGGATACTGTTACATTTTCCTTTTGATTTTCAGCCAGCAACTGAGTGACACGTCATAAGATTAAGGGTTTTGAGGTCATTTTAAATAAATTGATTTCACGTAAAAGCAAATTTTTACGCGTGCATGAATATTTAAAAAAATATATATATATTTAATGTTCCTTGAGATAAATTTATGGGTTCGTTTGTTTTGCCCAGCTCCGCCGCGCCGTCAGTTCGTTAAAAAATGAGTCAGTCCGTCTCATTCTACTTTTAAAAGTGAGCAGAAAAATTCAGCTTATCTCGCCTTGTTTGGCGGGTTGGACGAGTTGGCCCGCCAGCCCGAGCTTATTTTACACTGACCCGTCTATGCACGCCATCAACCCGTCTAAAAATAAGTCCACTCCTGCCCCGTTTAGCGGATGGGGCGGGTTGGACCGCCAAGCCAAGCCCGTTTTGCCATCCCTACTTATAAGATATTTGTATTGAGTTGCAAAAACGACGTTATTTTGGGACTTATAATTTTAATTTATTTCAGAATTATAATAGTCTTTATAAATTTTTTTTTAATATTTTAACACCAAAATGAAGTTATTTTGGGAGTAAATACAAATAACTTATCTGCAATAAATACAGAAATATTTTTTTTGTAAATTTATCTACTATATATTCATAAAAAAATATGACATCCATGTGAGCATATGTTAGGAAAAAAGATAAAAAATATATATAAATATGTATATTTCTATATGTGTGTAAGAGATAAAAGAAAAATATTAAATCCTTTATAATGAGTTCATTTCTTCTTAATAAATACAGATAAATTATCTGCATTAATTCTAAAATAATGTTGTTTTATGAATGAATGGAAATAATTTATTTATATTTACAGTAGGGACAGTAAATCCATTTACAATAACTTATTTTATTTTTCAAAAAATATATATTTAAATGTTGAAAAAAGTATTTGTCATTTTAAATGACATAAAATTATGTCATTTTAAGAGAAAGATAGACATAAAATAATATTTTTTATTTAAAATTTAAATTAAAAAAAATTCAACCACTTTCTCTCCTGTGATTTTTATTTCTTGTGTCTATCTCTATTTTAAAATAGGGTTTGTTTTTTCTAAAGTTACAGTAGATAACTTTATCTAATGTTCGTCGAAACGACGTCGTTTTGGGCAGAAATTATGATATTCTTGTAATTTTAATTTATTTCAGAGTTATAATAGTCTTTGTCATTCTAGTTTTTTAATTTTTCAACCCAAAACGACGTTGTTTCGATGAACTTTAGGGAAAGTTATCTAAAGTAACATTAGATATTTTGTCCTCTTTAAAATAACATAATTTATGTCATTTAAAATGACAAACATCAAACCTTTAAATGTTATATCCTATATCATCCATTAATCTCAATCCTAGCTTCTTCTTTAATACCAATCGTTTTTTTTTTGATAGATTTCAATTTTAGGTTTACTTTGTTAAAGGAGTTCAAAATTGGCATTTAGCTATGTCGGTCTTAAGTCTTAACTCTTAAGTATAGGCCAAACCGAAAGTTTTAACATCAAATAATAAAAGGATTAATTTTATATTTTAAAAGGGTACATCTCTCCCACATTCTAATTTTCTAATACTAACTCTTAAGTATTTGAGTGCCTAGGTCCCTAAGCATAATTCTTACTGAAAACAACTTTCAAATTTCATCTTTGGTTGAGAAAATTGTTTCCTTTCTTTATTTGGTTCACATTTTTGAAAAAAAAAAAGCATTAAATGCTCTAATAAAGAAATCAAAGGATTAAAATTTTCAAAATATTCTTAAAAAATAATATTGACAAATCAAAGGTAAGTATGTAAGCCCACAGAAGACTAATAAAAAAAGAAGATTAAACATATTAGTAAGCGAAATCTTTTACACACAAGAAAATCATTTTTTATAACAAGAATTAATAAGTTTTATGATTTTGTAATTTTTATAATACTTTATTTTTTTACTATACAATCCATAATTTTTATAAATACCTAATTTAATTATTCAGAGGGGGCGATTAAGTACGTAAAAAACTATTTTGTGGTTGAGAAATCAGTGAAATTTGAAAAGATGAATCGCAACCAAGTAAATCGCATTTTCCCCTCTCCAACTAATTGATAGTGTGCCGTTTGGGTGGATGAGAATTGAGAAGCAGCCAAGAAAAGAAGAAGGAGCAAACGCTTTTAAACATGCGTTAGTGTTTTACACGGCGTTGGTGAAATCCAATTGGTTAATCACACGACGTCGTTACAACCAGCCAATGACGCGGGAGAAACATAAAACTTTGCCACCCGTCAACGGTCAGCAATATAATTTGAGCGCGTGGAGCTCCAAAACGTGCCACGCTACCGTGGAGTCTAATGGGAAAATTCTCGAATCACCCAGAGTGTGCAGGAAGCCCCACACCAAACACTACAACCCAACTCACCTTTTTTTCCCTCGCCCAATTCTATTATATCCGCCGTCCATATTAGATCCAACGGTTCACAAACCACAGACCGAACCTTCCAGAATTCAAACCCATTCTTTATAACACAGGCCTTCCCTCTCTGCTCTTCAAATTCAGTTCAAGAAATTACAGTGATTTCAATTTCATTTTTTCTAGAAAATTCAGTTTCAGTTTTCTGAAGGCAAAATCGTGAGAAGCTATGGCTGCAAAAGGTGAGGGTCCTGCTATCGGAATCGATTTGGGAACGACATACTCTTGCGTTGGCGTTTGGCAGCATGATCGTGTTGAAATCATAGCCAACGATCAAGGTAACAGAACCACCCCTTCCTACGTGGCTTTCACCGACACAGAACGGTTGATCGGCGATGCTGCCAAGAACCAGGTCGCTATGAACCCAACCAACACTGTTTTTGGTAAGTACCTTCACATCATCCTCTGTTCCAGTTATTTTGTAAATTACGCATCGTGATTTATGTGAGTGCGAGCTGAAAAACTCTTCGTAATTTACCTTCTGGCCAGTACTATCTCTGTGTGCAATTAAGAAATTGTGTATCATCCTCTGTGTGCAATTAATTTACCTTCTGGCCAGTACGGAACTGAATTTTATTTGGATTAATTGTGTATTATCTATGCAATTAGATTGTGCATTCTTTTGACTAAGGTTTGATTTGGCGTATGCAGATGCTAAGCGTTTGATTGGTAGGAGGTTCAGCGATGTTTCGGTGCAGAGTGACATGAAATTGTGGCCGTTCAAGGTGATTGCTGGACCTGCTGACAAGCCTATGATTGTTGTGAATTACAAGGGAGAGGAGAAGCAATTTTCAGCGGAAGAGATATCTTCTATGGTTCTGATGAAGATGAAGGAGATTGCGGAGGCATATCTTGGTTCCACGATAAAGAATGCTGTGGTGACTGTGCCTGCTTACTTCAATGACTCGCAGCGACAAGCTACTAAGGATGCTGGTGTGATTTCTGGGCTCAATGTGATGAGAATCATCAACGAGCCTACTGCAGCTGCTATTGCTTATGGACTTGATAAAAAAGCTAGCAGCTCCGGTGAGAAGAACGTTCTCATTTTTGACCTTGGTGGTGGGACTTTTGATGTTTCACTACTCACTATTGAAGAAGGTATTTTTGAGGTGAAAGCCACTGCTGGTGATACCCACTTGGGGGTGAGGATTTTGATAACAGAATGGTGAACCATTTTGTTCAGGAATTCAAGAGGAAGAACAAGAAGGATATTAGTGGAAATCCTAGAGCTTTGAGAAGGTTGAGAACTGCATGTGAGAGGGCTAAGAGGACTCTCTCCTCTACAGCTCAAACTACAATCGAGATTGATTCGCTGTACGAGGGTGTTGATTTCTACACAAGTATCACTCGTGCTCGGTTTGAGGAGCTCAACATGGATCTGTTCAGGAAGTGTATGGAGCCGGTGGAGAAGTGTTTGAGGGATGCTAAGATGGATAAAAGTAGCGTCCACGATGTTGTTCTTGTTGGTGGGTCTACTAGGATCCCCAAGGTTCAGCAGCTTTTGCAAGACTTTTTCAATGGAAAGGAGCTTTGCAAGAGTATCAACCCAGACGAGGCTGTTGCCTATGGTGCTGCTGTTCAGGCTGCTATTCTCAGTGGCGAGGGGAACGAGAAAGTGCAGGATCTTCTATTGCTGGATGTTACCCCTCTCTCTCTTGGTTTGGAGACCGCTGGTGGGGTCATGACCGTGTTGATTCCCAGGAACACAACCATTCCCACCAAGAAGGAGCAGGTGTTTTCAACGTACTCCGACAACCAGCCTGGTGTGTTGATTCAGGTCTATGAGGGTGAACGAACAAGGACTCGTGATAACAATTTGCTCGGCAAGTTTGAGTTGTCTGGCATTCCTCCTGCTCCAAGGGGTGTCCCACAGATCAATGTTTGCTTTGACATTGATGCAAACGGTATATTGAATGTCTCTGCGGAGGACAAAACCACTGGACAGAAGAACAAGATAACAATTACCAACGACAAGGGCAGGCTTTCCAAGGAGGAGATAGAGAAGATGGTGCAGGAAGCCGAGAAGTACAAAGCTGAGGACGAGGAGCACAAGAAGAAAGTGGAGGCCAAAAATGCATTGGAGAATTATGCCTATAACATGAGGAACACAATCAAAGATGACAAGATTGCTTCCAAGCTGTCTGCTGATGATAAGAAGAAAATTGAAGATGCTATTGAACAGGCTATTCAGTGGCTGGAAGGAAACCAACTTGCCGAGGCTGACGAATTTGAGGATAAGATGAAGGAGTTGGAGAGCATTTGCAATCCCATCATAGCTAGGATGTATCAGGGTGCTGGTGGGGATGCGGGTGGAGCCATGGATGAGGATGGTCCTTCTGCTGGTAGTGGAAACGGTGCTGGACCCAAAATAGAGGAAGTCGATTAAGCAAAACATTTCGCATTGTAGTTTGTTTTTGCCAAGACCCTTTAGGGATAATAGTTTTGTATGCATGTTTTTTTTGGGATAGCTGAATGTACTTTTTTCTCCTTTTTTAAGTGTACTTTTGTCACCGCTTCGTTGGATGCAATAATGTGAATTTGCTCATATGGTTTATTTGATCGCGATGTTTCAACATGCAAGTGTTTTTCTCCGAATTATTATACTTGTTGCCCTTCAATTTGGAGAGTGGGATAGGCTGCAGTTGGGGAAAATTGCAGGCCAGTTTGAACTTGACTCCCTGCTGTGAAGAGAAGGATACAATGGATTCAAACTTATGCTAGTCCTAGTAAGTATTATGAATAACGTAGATGATGTCAACCATATTTGATGCCGTATATGTCAACGTAGGAATTAGATGCTTGTGGTTGAGGTTGTGTGTTTTATTTTTTTATTATTATTACTATTTATTTAATTTGGGATAAAGGTGTTGTTGATGTTGATTACTATTTATTTACTTTTTTTTTGTTCTATGTATAACTCCTCAAACCAGAGATTATGATCAAGAGGATCCTAAAAAATTTACTGATCTGTAGAATCCTTTTTCTACTCAGAGGTGGATCCTTTTTTTTTATATATATATCTCTTGCTTCGTTAACGATTTGGTCTTGTTTGTCAAAACTGTAATGGTCTTTTAAAAATAATATATTTAAAAAAAAAAAAAAAAAACAGGGGAAGAGTTAGTATAGTAGTTACCTGAGATGGGTCTGTTGACTGTTATGAATCATTATGCCTGTGACAGTTACACCATTACTTCTATAGAACCTGAGTTTGTTAGAGCATATAAAGAAATAGCATAACACATGAGAATTTTAGTTTCAATCTCAAGGAGAAGTTCAGTATAAGTATTCTTGTTGTTGGTCTGGGTTTGTTAGAGCATAAAATTTGGGAGATGGAACAGAAATATTTATTTGTATCTAAATACTTTAAAAAAAATATTTGCTAATAATTATTATTCATGCAAATAGAAATATAGAATACATTATTCTTTGGTATGAACATTAATGGATGTAAACTGACCACTGTCTCAATGGACTTTCCATTGATAACACAGCCATCAGAGGGATGAATTACTACATAACAAATCATTTGATATGGCCAGGGCTAATATTTTTACACATAAAGAGAGACTATATATTGATAACACAGCCATCAGAGGAATGACAGCAAGGAGCCCAAATATTTAAAAACAACATCAATTAGAGGTTCCAAGGATATATACCTAGATGGAAGTCATTAGTAGCATTGGATATCTGCTCATAGCTGAAGCACTTCAACAAAGGTTGACGTTTTCCATTTTTGGATATGTTAAATTTTCTTCTTCTAAATGGTGACCCAAGGAATGAGACTACGAGCTTGAATGGGGAGCGTGGTTTCCTTAACTTGGATTGGCTCTTATTCTCAGGACCCATTGAAGGGATATCTGTGATGCTTGAGACCCTAGTGCTAAAGGTATCATCTTCTGTGCTGTTCGATTGTCCATCGATTCCATCTAGTACCGTTGTTGGTGAACGGCTTTGTGCCTTCGTTTCTGAGATAAAATCCTTAAGAACAGGGGAGGTAGCCTTGTCACCTTGGTTATCCTTCTTTAACCACCTTGAACTTGATTGGCTAGTATCTGCTACCGAAAGGATAAAAAGGATTTGTTAACCAATGTTATTTGGATTGTCTTACTTACCTTATTTCAGAGAATTGAATTACCTTCAAACTGTGTAGGATTTGAATTGACACTTTGCTTACATCTCCCAACTGAGACCATGGTGCAGCCTTCATGTGCATGCTCAAAGCAATACTTGGTAATTCCTTTAGAGGTTCCAATTCTAAGAAAGAAAATAAAATTAATGAAATATGTCTAGTTTAAAGATACACAAAGCTATACAATCAATCAAATATGTGTAAGAAATAAATCAGAGAATAACATATTAGTCTGCTAGGTGTCCACATCTACATAAGTGATCATATAAAGACACTTGACAGCAGAAGCACTCAAAGTAAATATTATTTTATCATAACCCCAATATGTTCGGCTTTTTTACCTCTGTAGCTTTTTTTTTAATAATTAATTATCAAATTGACCCTATTTATAAATTATTTCAAAAATTTAACTTTTTTAGAAAATATAACACCAATATGCTCATGTTTGACCGTTGACCATGAAGTCTACCCGGGTACACCCCTACCTACTCGGGGATATTTTGAAGTTTTTTACCTACCCGGGTACACCCCTTCCTACCCGGGTATATTTCTTGAATCTAAAAAAATGTTTGAATTATTTACTCAGGTACAGAGGGGTGTACCCGGGTAAATAACAAAAGCTAGTCATGAATGGTACATATTTGTATTTGATCATGTGTGATATCTATCTCCTCGTAGTAAGCGTGAAGAGTACTACCCAGTAGAAGAGAAGTATTGGCCAGAACACTGGAACATCAAACGCACTAAAGAAAGTCATTACAAATGCAATGCAAAATGCCTTTGTGATAGAGTACCTGCACAGAAAGGAAAATTAAGCACAGCTTCAGCAAAAGCAACCGTCTGCATGTCAAAACAATTCTAAAGGTGTTCTCATAGCGAACTTATATGGATTGAGCAACGAAGTTCTGAGATTTTGTTATTTACTCGGGTACACCCCTCTGTACCCGGGTAAATAATTCAAACATTTTTTCAGATTCAAGAAACATACCCGGGTATGAAGGGGTGTACCCGGGTAGGTAAAAAATCTCAAAATATACCCGGGTAAGTAGGGGTATACCCGAGTAAACTTCATGGTCAACGGTCAAACATGGGCAGATTGGTGTTATGTTTTTTGAAGAGATTAAATTTTTGAAATAGTTTATAAATAGGATCAATTTGGTAATTAATTATTAAAAAAAAGGCTATAATGGTCAAAAAGCCCAATATGTTCAATTAAAACCTATATAAAATGCAAAATATAAAGGTTAAAAAAATAAAACTTTAAATGATTATAAACATGTCAGAATTTATTTATTTAAGTTAGAAAAATCAAATTTAAAATGATACTTAAAATATTTCGAATATAAATATTTTTAAAAGTAAAAACAAACTAGATCAACCTCATATCTTATATTTAAATAGAAAGATGAAGGTTAACATATAAAAAGCTTTACTGCTAGAGTATTGATACCATTTTTTTGGACCAAAATCAAAATCACAATTTATAGTTGCTTACTTGCATTACACCTTCCTTAAAAAAAAAAAACCTGATATCCCGTAAGAAAAAAAAAACCCCACATACACATGCATATTGTAGACCATACCATTCCCTTATGTAATCTAATCATAATCATATAAAGATTCAACAATAATTAAAATCAAATCTTTCCTAAATGAGAATAATTTCTCTTTAAATTCTTCATAACCTTGCATTGGCTTAACCAATAATAAATTTTAAAACAATATCTTCTACTTTTATTTGTGACTGTCTCTTACTTGTAAAAGATATATATATCTAACATTTTTTTCTTTCTATTTTTCAATGTAGTTGCTAAAATCATTTCATATTTTTAAATTGTTCCTAAGGTCAAATGTGCAGCAGTGAATCTTCTAATTGAATACCATTCCCAGAATTTAAATTTGTCTAATTGAATACCATTCCCAAAAAGGGTAATCTGATTACGAACTAGACTCAATATAAAAATAAACTCGCAGATATATAACCTTATATAAGCTGTCTTCAAGGCTCATGCTGATTCTCATCATTTCTAATGTTGTTTTTAACCTGGGCTTGTCCTGGTATATCAACTTGTTTTTCCTAATCTGCAACCACCGTCAAAGGAAGAGGCACATCAATCAAGGCAAGATTTTAAGTCATTTAAGTAAGCCTTAATTGCAGTATAAACTTGAGAAAATTATAAATATTGGTAAGAGAGGAAATTAAACCTCACCCTTTCTCGTTTGGCAGGGTCTTTGAAGGCTGAATTGATAATATCCTTTGTGGGAACTATCTTCCACTTTAGTCAATATGTTGATGACCACCGGGTGTGGTTTCACCTTCTCCGATATCTTCCTCATTGTTTGCATATTTGCATAACCCATGCATGTTATAATTTATGTAGGAAAAAAATAGCTACTCAATTAATTAAGTTAATAAGTAGTTGCTTATGAATTCTATATTTTTATACTAATAATCAATTGAATAATTAATTTTCCTAAACTTAATATTTTTAATTGGAAATTTTTCTTAAAATATTTTTTCTGAGCTGAATGAATGTCCGCGCAAAAGACTTCATAATTTCACAGTCATACCTTACACATAGGCGCGACGAGAATTGCGCCGTCCCAGAATGAAAGGTCCTTTTTATGCAAAAGTAGGGTCGCTGCCCCTCCCATTAACTCTCCATACAAGAATCTAGCTTTTCTCTTGTATTCTTGGAGCACTGAAATATGCAAATGAATAATAAAGGCTTGATCTCGTTGGAAAGATATGAGAAAGATCTACAAATTCTACGAAGAACAAGAGATTCAAATCCATCATCTTCGATACGAAAAATTGGCCGAAAGATAGTTTCAAGAAGATTTTCACTAAAAGGTTGTACCTCATTTATCGCTTTAATTCTTTCTAGCTTAACCATTGCTTCAATGCTCCATAATAGCCATTTAAACATGAAATCAATATATTTTTAAGTCAGTAACACATCAAATCAAAAACTTAAGAATCCTTTGCATTTTATGTATTTGACAAAATATGTTATGTTCCCAACCATTTACAATGACATTTCCTATACTTTTGCATCTAAAAACAAGGTGTGTTTGACACCTAATAAATACATACTTTTGCTTCTAAAAACAATATGTGTTTGACACCTACAAATACCTATTAGGCCGTTAAAATTGTTGTAGACCAACACATTGGTGGCTCAATTGAGCCTTATGCAAATCATGGGTTTGGGTGAGCTAACTTGCTTGTGTATAAATTTTATTTTATTTTTGTTTTTAAGACTTTTTTATACTTCATAAATTTTTTATTTTGCATATTTACAATTTATCAAATATCTAATTAAAAAGATTTTATGGTATAAATATTAATTTGTATTATAAACGTAAAACCTTTCGTATATCACATAAATTATTGATTGTACTATGATCAAATAATTAGACGTCA